ACCTCATTCTTTTCAGTGATATGCGACAGTCGCCTTTCCTTCTCGTCGAAAAGCGGTTCGTTTTGGTGGCACTTTGAGCATGTACGAATGGGTACTACAAATTTACACATGATGCTATGAAGGTCATAGGTTAGATTGGCACCAGTCTTAAGAGTGAAAGTGCGCACCAATGCAAGTCTATGATGCGAGCAAAAATAGGGAGTCAGTGATTTGGAGAAAGTAAAGCTCTGACAGACAAAAATGAGCGCGGGTGAGCTGAATATATAGGAAACGAAACTGTGGAACCATTGTTGAGCCTTTTGATCCGCAAAGGTCTCTATTGAGAGATGTGGGTGGTGCAGCGTACAATCGAAACACTGCATAGCCGCAGGGACTGACCGAAGTGGACCATTTAGGGATTTGACCTATGACGTGACTACTAGAGAATAGTGATCCCTGTCTAGATCCTACGCGGGTATGGTACGCCCATCCATACACATGTTAATGTGCCACTCAAGTTGCCTGAGTCAAAGCGTGATGGTACTGCGCAAAGGGAGTCAGGACTCAGCATCGAGAAGCTTCTGGCTCGGAAACGGTCGATTTAGAATCATCGCAAGTCATTTTCTCACGCCCTTATTGGTGGAACAACTCTAGGGGACCCAGACCATCTCCCAAAACTATCGACATTCTCGTTTGTCTGAAGGCTCAACACATAATCCACTTAGGCCGTGGTGAAGGATAACGAAAATTTGTCTCATGAAATAGATGTGGTGCGTAATATTCTGCAAATGGGTGCATGTCTGGCGCTCGTGTATTATTGCATTCTTCATAGTGAAGATGGTCAATGTCTGATGGAGGGGAAACTTGAGGCCAAACCTCTCAAGGTGGGAGGTGGTAGTTGGTACTAGTTGTATCTCTCGAGGACGGACTACGACCAGCGGACTACATACCTGTGAGTCAGGACGTCTCTGGCCACTGCACCATGACCGCACCAGACCTGGTATGAGGCATTGGGACAGCAACACTCATCAAACATGGAGATTCCCCTCCGTTTGCCACCCACCGCGACTTATACGATACCATCGACTCAACTCCACTTGGTGACATTACTTGGGAGAGTTTTTCGATGTCATATAAGCAGTCTCATGAATATAACAAGAACATCTATGCCACATGTCACAGTACGACTCGACTTCTTCATAGATATTGTCCATCCATTTTTGGCCTTCGCCCGTATAAGAGCCTGCGCAATGGTCACATCTAAAATTTGTACAGGCACGCTTCAAAGCAAATTTGTCTCTTCATCGCTTTGGTGTCAGCTGCACAATCATGATGATTTGACGGATGGAACACACCTCACGCAAAATTTAAAGCTCCTATCATCCATGTCGTGAGGGAGATATCTGTGGGAATACTGCCAAAAGCACGGTCCGATCTCCAAAAGTTCCTGTGCATTCGCGTGGCCAAGAGAGCTTGAACAACAACCTCAGACCTGTGTCGAATGTATCAATAATTTTATCCAAAGTGAGCATGGACAAACTCTAAAAGCATGTGTCCAACTGTAAACTACGTCTCTTGTTAATGAGGTGACTTTGAATGTATGCGTTAACTCACTGGAAAGAAAACTGTGCTGACAATGACGCTGACAGCAAAAGCTGGAAGATTTAGCAAGTAAATATATCAAATCGTTTGTAAGCACCAACCAAAGCCGCAGCTACAGTACAGCAGATTATCTTTCATGAGACCACGCATAAGGCGGTTGTCCATGCCCCAGCCACCAAGACCTTTGACGCGATACCACAGAAGTAATAATGTTTCTGAAATTATGTGCATGCAAAGGCACGCAGTCAGTTCCAGCTCATGTTAGCAGCAGCTCTCAATACGAACGCAGCTCAGCCATAGCCAGCAAGCCAAACGCTACATATATTCTGGTGCTTGTCTCCGTATCCAGATATCCGGTAACGCCAGGGATCCAGCATGGCTCTGTATGTTAGAGGTAAGGAACCAAGCAGGCGAAGAGTCCAACCCGAATATCTACATACCTGAGACTCTCGAGTTAAACTGTTGCATGCTGACAGTAATTGGCACTAAATAGGCCTGAAAAAGACGAATCAGATCTCGTTACCTGGAGTTGGTTATAGTGGTCTCACAACAACTGCAAAAGTCTCCAACGCCGCGAACCATCTCTCCCGTTCCCATACTGCATATGCCCTGACCACGAAGATGCCTGAATTCGGTGTAAACGCAGAATGTCTGCTGAATAGCACGATTGGTGGACCTACACTCAGCACAAGTCATCGTCATTATCCCTATATCTGATGAAGCATTGAATATGGTGTCAGTACATGTCTGGCGAAGTAGTACCAAACTGACAGGTATTAGCGATATTATAAGAGCGGCAAAGCTATGATTGAGATGGGTTGAATTCTAATATCTGCGACTCTTCGACTTGGTTGCACATACATGAAGCGGGGCATCAGGCTGAAAAACCACTGAAAGTGATCGTGAAACATCACAATATGAGAGAGGTAAAAATGAAATTCTGTACCGAACACTTACCAAGCATATTCAATAACATGAAGACAAGTGGCAAGTGGCTGCAAGTTAGATACAGAAATGTGCTGAGTCCCCATCGAGAATTGGCGAGAAAGTTGACCTGCATCGACTACAAATCAGAACACTCTTGGAAGCTCGAAAATTTGTACTTGCCGTATCGGGCAGGCACAGTATGTAGTCATACACCTTGGTATTCAAATCAAACATAAGCCGATGACCCGGTAACTTCTACTAGCATAGCTCACCCAAAGCGTCATGAGTGCAACTATCGGGAAAGATAACATGAAGGGATCAACCATTCAAGTCGAAAGACTGATCATGGAAAACGACTGCACCATATATGTACTGAGATGAGGGCCCGTCAGTGATTTGAACTCGATAGCAGGACTTGCACTCACGTTGAAGCCTGGGAGCGTGTCAACTTGAGTCTCTTGCCATGAAGAACTCATGCCGACGCATAACATCGCTATAGCTGATCGATATAAGAGATGATATACGGAAATCTGCGAGGCCATTACACCCATGTTCTCACACGAACTAATGATGGGCGATCCGTAAATATTAATTTTCCGGTGATAACTCCCCGACCCCGGGCACTAACCATTCCTTGATAAGTTTCATCATTTGCATTTGCACGTACAAGACGATCGATTCCTTCTTCAATTGGCCAGATCCTTCAATCCCGCCATCTGGTAGTAGAAAATAAGCTCGCATCAAACATTCCAAGATGCCGCGGCGCACCTAGGTCCCACATTTACCGCGCTCTTAAGAAGGATGTTTCTCCCGATAAACAGGAGTCGGACATAAAAAAAAAAGGGGTGCCTGTCAATGCAGCAAGGGTCGCCTTGTCTTGACGATATTGATCGAGTGATTCTGGAGATGAGTCTAGGATAATCAGAAGAAGCAGCGTTATGTGATGGACTTGGTATTTCGTACCTAAGATATGCATATGGAAACGTCATGTGCCAGATCAAATTGTTTGTAAGAAATATACTAAACAGTGACCTAGCAAACCTACTAGTTTCGCGTCCGCGGGGTATACTTACGACCTAGACCTAGTAAGCGTGTGGTGGCTGCAATGACTCGGAGTACAAATGTGAGCCACCGTAAATCCTGCGTATCTGGCCATGTCTGCAGAGCACGAAACACGTCAGACCGTCATCTACATTGGATAACAGATTATCTTGCCACCGACACTTGTTTGCACGTGTGACGTGGGCAAACAGAAGATGCAGACATGCCACAACGTTAGGCTGTATGCTCGCTGTCAAAATTCATAGTGAGAATAGTGGGGATTCCATATGCTGTGGGAAGCAATGCGGTGAGCTCTCAGCGTAGATTTTAATTATTACGGTACTTGGAAGTTTCATTTCTTGACATTCTTTCTCGACACCTGGTCGAAAAACGATGCGTTTGACCGGCACTTCGAGCAAGTGCAAATGGGGATCATAAATCACACACCTACAAACGGACACTAGTAAGTTCCGACAGAACGCGCACCAATACGGACTGGGACTTACAATATATGATACAAATAAAACAGTCAGCCAAAGGATGCGAAAAAGCAGGTGAGATAAAGACATGACAGACGGAACCAGCTGTGAACCAGCCATCGAATCCCTTGATTTCCATTTTTGCGGATGGCCTGCAGTTCAATTGAAGCGCCCACTACAAGCCTACAATGGGCCAAAGTTACCTCCCAAAGTGATTAGATCACGGCACAGTCACAGTAAGTTAACTTCTGACTGCGCAATACCCATTACTAAAATTTCACATTGGGCTCGGACTACGGCCGGCTGCTGAGCGAACAGGAGCGTCCCTACGGAGCCCGAGTCGGATGCGAGATTTTACGGTAAGATGAAGTTCATCGCATGCTGTCAAGGTCATGGTCAGCGGAAGGCTTGTAAACGAAATCTGAACTGGAGTTCTGGATGAGAAAGCGAATAACTTGAGAATGTATAGACGAGGGGGAATCCTCTAGAATATGCCTTCCCAGGATGCAGCATGAATCGACGCAAGATAACTCAGGCATAATTTGAATCTGTGTTTGTGAGCGACAATACTGTAGCGGCCGATCCTGTGTTGTGATTTGTGGATGAGCGCTGCATCGACGCCGCGTCATTTCTACCTGGGTTGACCTGGCCGAGACTCGGAAGGAGATGACCTCAGTGGAAAAAAAAACATGATCCAACACAAACACGTGTATACGTATACAACATCATATGATGCCATTCAGTGGGAGTTTCTGGCGTTGTCCCTACTAGGCTGGAACTTTGGTTAAACTCTCTTGCTTACCAGTCCGACGTCGCCTGCTGCCGCAGCACTATTTTGTTCTCTTCTCCATCACTCCGTATCTCGTTGGTGCTCTATTTGCATATAGGTAAGTAAGTCTGTTAAGCTAGTTCGGGTGAGCATGCAGATGAAGCATGTTAAGTTCGGTTTAGTATAAACGCCAGTCATGCTCTCCCGAGTATTGACAGTCCTTGCTGTATTATTAGTATGTGTTTAGTCCAAGCAATGAGATTGTGTCTCATTTTTTACAGGCAACATTTATCTATCGGAGTGGTCGTCTTGTTAAACATGGCATCTTCACTCTTCCTGCACTACCATCATCATACTATGTCAATGGCGATGTCCATACGCACTGCACAATTCTTCAAGAGCCAGCTCATACCCTTGATTACTGCGAAGACATGACTTTCTGGGACCACCTGGATGCAGATGGGACTGTAACTGCCCGTTTCATTATAGCGGGATGCGACCCTAACCGCAAGGCATGGAACACAGTCATGGGTCCCCTGCGCAATCCCGAACCAAGGGCCTACCTTTGGCTGGTTGATACAGTAGACAATAGCCTACAGCGTATCGAGTTGGATGGATACCCGGAAGAACATAACTTCCACCCACTTGGGATGGAGGTCACACCCTCTCAGGATGGGGCCCCATCTGTTCTTTATGTAGTCAATCACGCACGTGAAAAGACAACAATTGAGCACTTTATCATTTCCCCAGATATCCCAACACAGGCACTCTGGAAACGCACACTTTCATCGCCTTGGTTTGTGTCTCCTAATGCCTTGGCCCTAACGAGCGAGACGTCGTTCTACGTCAGCAATGACCATCTCATGACTCGTCGACTTCCTTTCCCCCTTGCACCCGCCCTGCCGCTGGTTGAGAGTATTGCTGGACTGCCCCTAGGCTGGCTTTCACATGTCACAGTTAACCCTGATGGCACAATCACGCACGAAATAGCCGCTCTCGGTGTGGCCTTCGCCAATGGCGTCGCCATCTCCCCAGACGGCACGACTCTCGCACTATCTTCTACTTCTCTTGGTCAAGTTTACTTCTACGACCGCAACATGACCACAAATGCACTCAAATACAGGGAGACCGTTAGCCTCCCCTTCTTCAATGACAACATCATGTTTGACGAGGAGGGCGCACTCATCGCCACAGGGCATCCACATTTCCCATCTCTCATTGCCGTTGCTGCTAACAAAACAGATGCGCGCGCGCCAAGTTGGGCCGTCTCGCTCACTCCCCTTTCAAACAAAACGCATTTTGCAAAGAGCGCACATGCAGCAGATAGGAAATACGATTTACGTGCGCCGTTGTCGGTATCAGAAGTTGTCCCCGCTAGTGAAGAATGGGAAGTGGAAACACTGTTCCAGAGCGACGGAAGTGTATTTGGAACATCCTGCACGACACTCAGGGATTCGAGGACCGGCTCATTGTATATGGTGGGCCTGTACGAGGAAGGGTTAATGGTTTGTAGGCCATAGTTTGCGGCTATTTTTGGAACGTGTACGCAATTTCAACACTGGTCTCTAACCTGATGTACTAGTACCTACTTATGCCACACATGCTAAATGATCTATTTCCAAGAAAAGCCATCAACGTTCAACGCCGGTACCGAGATACCAGGAGAAACTTCATGAGTATGTCCAAGAAATCCTATAAGCGCAACGAGGAACTAGAAATCGGTGCAGCTCATTGTTGCCAAGATAAGAAACGTGCGTGAGTCGCGAACGACATCATGATCCCGAAAACCTTCATCTCACACTACTCACACCCTCTCTAGGAGAAAGTACTGGCAAGGTTCTGATAAAACAAAGATCTCGTCAGTACTAGTTGGGAGTGAATGAGACGATTGGAGATCTTGGATGAAAGTCACGTGCGCAGAACAGATCATGGGGCTGAAACAAGTATGGTGCGATGATCGTTTGCATATCACAATTCATAGAAGAGCGGTATATCCGACGGAGGCGACTGGAATCAGAACCGTCGCTTGTGAAGCACCGACGGCGAAGAAAGAGCTATACCCAACGGACGCGGAGCACAAAGATGAGGATCTGAACTCTATGGGCGCTTGGTAATCAACGCCCTCTTGGAACCGATAGACCATCTGGCGGATGAGCAACTTATTCAAATTCTCGCAAGTGCCAGCAAGACTTGTAATCAAGAGCACAATGACTTCTTGGTTTGTGTGCAAGGCTAAGGTGGCATGCTAGTTGCTAATTCGGCCACTTGCCTAACTGACACCACGACTTCGGAAGACCAGAAAGTGCTTCGACACACCAACGGGACCGGATTCTCGGAACCGGCAGTCTGCCAGCCACAGATCCCAATGCCAACGGGAGCGAAAAAAACGGGACCGGCAGCCGCATGTTCAATGCCAACGGGAGAGAATACATCGAGAAACAGCAAGAAACCCTATAATGAACCAGGCTTCTCAATGCCAACGGATATCAGTACATACCCCCGACGCCAACGGTATGCGCCCCGTCGCCAATGGACCATCCGCAGGCAAGGCTTTCCGCCGCAATATAAAAGACAAAGGTCTATACTCGGAAACTCACCTCTTATACCCCTGCTATTCTTATTGTTACCAAACTGTTTTCTGCGGCGTGCTCGAGAGGAGGAATGCCTAAAACCTGAAAAACAATTTTAAATTCATTATGCTGGTCAGACAATTTCATTTCAACTCGTGTGTCGAAGTAGAAAATAAGTTAAAAGAGGGTTTGCAGCGGCCGTAACTTCTGCAGAAACAGGTAATGCGCCAGATAATACAGCGAGACCGAACATCCCAGTCCAGACGCCGAGTTCGCCCACATAGCTATACACGATGTATGAGCCTAAATCGTAACAGGAAGATATCAAATGACGACTCCAGCTCCATACTCCCTTGGAAATCAAAGAATCTTCGTATTTTTTTCGCTGTGCCACGTATATTTCTGCATGTCCCCTATAGCTTTGAGTGCGAGAGAGCCTGCAATCAAGCGAGGGGGAAAAATCGTTGCAGGGTGAGCTGATGCAGGAACCATGTCTGACTGTTGTGAGTGCATCAAATGGCATGACCTGAAGGAAGAAACACGTTTACGATATAAATGGACAATCCAATGTCAAACATACAGCTGGCTTACCAATGCGCCATCCATGCGCCGGTAAACTCATGTCCGTTTATAATCTAGTTTTCTTCAGCTGTCACGCTTGGCTCCAAGGTAAATCCTCCTGAGGGATACCCTCGTCATGTTGTCATTGAGGCCTGGCAGCTTCCTGCCCAAGAAAGCAATTAAAACCGGTGGTGATTCGCATTTCGAGAGGACAAGGTCAAGAGTGGTTGAAAAGAAGCCCGCAGCACCAGAAATCGAAAGCCTGTCTTCAGCTTTAGGAACGAAGATGCAGGCCAAGCCTACTTGCTGCACATAAGCACTCACTGCGATGGGTATGCTTGTGCATTTTGAGGGTCTGATGTTTTCTTGAATTTTATATTTCATCTGCGCTCACATAAGCTCGTGTAAACGGAAGCGAAATCAGGTGACATCACCTCGGAGCTTTTAAAATGAGCAGGATGCGCTCACGGTCAACGTTCATCGATGCATCCAGAATCACAAACAAAGACTAGGCCTTATTCTTGCTTCCATCATCATCCTGACCGCTCGGATGACAAGAAACCCATTTCCGATACTGGCTGGCGCGGCTCTCCTCCTATCCCCTCATCCGACGGCGGTGATTCTGAGAAAGATTGGATGTCAAAGCCACCATACAACTGGTTGCCAGCGCGTAGTGTAAGCGGCGAGGAGCTCTTCAAGACAAAATATGAGTCATCCTGCTGGTGCGGTGCAGTGCGTTTTGCCTTTGCGGGCGACCCATTCGATGCGAAGTATTGCCACTGCAGACAATGCCAACAGCTGCACGGCGCCCCCTTTCAGTGGGCGGTCATCTTTCCAAAGACAAGTGTTCGCATTCTGCAGAATACTAGTGATGCTCTCCACTTCTTTTCTACCACGACGAAAGATACTTGTCATCATGTCCCGTGCAAAGTCTCCTGCGAGATCTGTCGGGCCCCACTTTTCGACGAGGGGAAGCGCACGGTGCTTGCATACCCAAGTGGCTTCAAATTTCCCCCTATCGAAGCACGCTTGAACACTACTGACGTAAAAGATGGCGAGGCGGTAGAAACAGGCAAAGGGCTCCACGATCCGCAACACGAAGATATCCATCCTCCAGGCCATTACAGTGGAGTCCCTCTTGAGTTTCAACCCAGTTGCCATATTTTCTACGGTCAGCGCATCATGGAAGTGTGCGACGGAATGTAAGGGTACATCTGCATGGTCACCCCTTGTTCTGACGTATCAGTTGTCAGTCCAAAGTGGAGTGGTCATAAGGATGACAGCGAGCTCATGTAGGAGATGAGTAATTGTCTTGCGCGTTATGTCCAGATACAAGGGGTGTGATGAGGAGCTACGCGTATGAGATGGTATTGGTAGATTTGTAACCAGTCCGCATACATCTTGGAAAGAGAAGAGTGCCGACGTAGTCAAACTCGACTTGTCCATGGTACCACAAGTCAGGCTGGCCAGAAGCTTAATTTGATGCCATGAAGCGCAGACCGCAAATGAAACAGTTTAATGCATATCTGTGATGGTCATGCGTTGCGATATTGCCTTTCGTAAAATAGCAAGAAACGGGTTCATTGGATTGGCGAAATTCGAGTACAGAAGCCGTGATGACATTAAGCTCGGTAGAGGCTTGTACGCCGCCCAAGAGGTGAGGTGGGTCTAAGGTTGTGATAGGCGGTCAATTGTTCCTCGCATTCACCATGCGAAATGTGTGAAAAAATAATGGTTCCTGCGTTGATTGCCGCCAGGGTTATCTCCGCGCTTTTACGTACCTTTGGCGCTCTTGTTCAAGTACAACGCAGTTGGAATTGACTCCATGGTATCGAATTATGTGCTATTGCTGCAGGAATGACATTCACAATTTGATACTATCAGATGAACACACTCACAGTCTTGTTGTAATATTTGGTACGTCCATATCAGTAAGTACTGCAGTCTGCCAGGGAACCGATCACACTCCTGAGACGTCTTTTAGCGCTGGCTCGTTCACAGGGTGACGTTTCAAATATTTTTTAAGAGCCCTCCAGCGCTCCGGTTATCTTGAGCGATTGTTTGATGTCCGCACTTTGTGCGGAGGATATGTAGTGAGTCGAGAATTGATATTTCGAGTTTCCGAATATATGTACTACTCCAAAATAAGATGACAACGGTTTTCCTGACGCTGGCGCTGGAGGATTGGCACCTAGACCTGAAACGTGCGCGTGGAGCTTGGAGCTAGACCCCAGTGTCAGGGCCTTAGCGATTCGATTACGAGTCATGAAACATGATGAAGCGCTGACGACGGAGAGCCAAAGACCCTTTACTTTCACTAGGTTGATGGTGTGTGCCGTCGCGGCAGAAAGAGATAAACCTGTGCCAAATAGATGTATACATGGGAATAATCTGATGATTTATTATTCACACGGCGACGACATAACCCCAACGCCAGACAGGATTACAACCACCCCGAGATATTCAAAAAAAATAAACAGGCGAAACTTTGCTATTCTTTATTCCTATCTATCCCTGTATCACATACCCGGAGCGTGTGCATGGACAATCCACAGCACTACCAACCGCTTTCCCATGCACTTCATCCTCCTGTAGTGCCTACGTACGAGGAGGAGGAAGAAGAGGAAGAGAATGAAGACGAGGGTGTCGTCGAAGAGCAACTTGATCGTGAAGACGACGATCACGAGGTTGGCGTTGGGTGCGTAATTACTGTAAATTGTTATGATGACGCGCGTCTGATTGCAAGTATTCGTAAATACTCATATTGTATGTGCTCGTCATATCTAGATCTACACAACATCAATCAAGTACAACTGCAGCTGGAAAGCGTGCAGGTACAGCACAACCCGACCCGCCACAAGACTCAGAACGCAAAAGGCGTCCTGGTCGGCCCCGTGGATCAAAAAACAGACGGTCACGGGCGTCAGCTACTGACTTGAAGGAGCCAGCTAATTCTGCCACAAAGGCATCCCCGCCACAACACGGGTTCTACCAGTATACTGCCTCTCCTACTCCAGGAGAGATACAACCACACAATCAGCAGTATTATGAGTTTCAGTGGCGTGTGCTAAACTTATGTGCAGAGTTCTATGGAGCGGCTGAAGAGCTTGTTGTAAGCGTCCGCTGCGTGATTTTGAGGTGTTGAAATAACTTCGCCCAGAAAGCTACACCCTCCCTTGTTATTGCGCAATGTTACCAGATGGGCCCTGGCGTGAAGGTAGATCCCTTGGCCATGCTTGGTGAAGCGAAAAGAATATGCGATACCCTTGTGAGTCACATGATTTTGGTTGTCAAGTCTGTCTTGTCCTTATTTCTCAAAGTTGGCATCTCCCTCTCGATTAACTACCCACCCGCCACCTGCACCGTACTTCGTACCTGGTTACCCAGCTCCCATCCCGCCACCGCCGCCACCACCTCCACCCCAACCCCAACCTGGGCCATCCACATCCTCTACAAACGGCAAATCCCCCATCACTACAGCGCCAGTAATTTCGGATCCGCAATCATTTGTTGTTTCACTGGGTCATCAGCAAGCATACCCATACGGCGCTCCAGCATACCCCACTGCACCATACTATGGCTATGGCGGATACGGGGGTTACTATCCTCCTGTACCTCCACCTGGGCCAAGCCCAACACCTGCGACAGGTTCTGCGAGTGGAAGCACAGGAGGTGCTGCGGGAAGTGGTGGAAACCAGGGTGCCTGGTCCGAAGAAGAAACGGAAAGGCTAAAGAAGCTTGCTGAGGAGCACCGCAACGCTAGCGGGGAAATCATATGGGATGCCCTATGCGAAAAATGGGGCAACTCTCGCACAAGGTAAATATTTTTCCATGCCGCATTGATTCTTTCAGGGGCTTATCACTCAGCCTGATAGACACCAAATATTGATAAAAGCAACCTCGCTAGGGTTGAAAGAGTCCTCGTCACGAGGAACGAAACGAAAACGGGAGACGGATGGCCAACTTGAGCGCCCTCCACCTACAGCTCCCACACCAACAAGTACAGATGCTCCCCATCAGACTCCAGTTCCGAATACCGTTCCCACGTCTGCTTCTCAATCCGCACAGGGAGCATCTGCTTCTCCAACACCTTCAACACCAGCACCAGGGTCCACTCAACCTTCTCCAGCAATTCGACACGCACAAACGCAGCAGCAACAGCAACAGCCACTACTACACCAACAGCCGCCAACACGTACTCTCCCATATCCAATGCCGACAGTTGCTGCTACAACCTCACCTGTTATATCCACCTCGACGAACCCGATAGATCGCCCGGGAAGCGGAAATTACTATCGCACACGACCAGCACCTGTGATGAAACCTGCATCTTCAGGATCGACACATCAGTTCATGTATCAGCCGAACGGAGGGCGCCGAGATGGTTAATTGACATGTTTTTACTAGGCCGGGAGTCGTTTGCTCAATAATTTTGCTATCTTACTTTTTGATACCGATGCAGCTTAGTGCAGACACTAGTTTTCTACGTGTAGATATCGCGTATATGGTCGGTCGACGTGTTGTGCTTTTTGCAGACCCTGTATTCACCTGTCTAGAATTATCGTAAAATCATTTTGTTGCGACCGCGCAGGGCTCGCGGACTTTGTATTGGGAATAAGTTCTATACTTCGAGCGAATAAAATATGCAAGTAATACGCCCAGTACATTCATACAGGCGGTAGTAAACTGTAAGCAGGGGGCTTACCACTAAGGTTGATTTGTTTTGAAAAAAGTAATATGCTAAACCTCGAACACGCACACTAGTACTCTGTTTCATATGCTTCAAACACTTCCATGGTGTCCAAGCATAGGGTCAAGGCCCCGCTGCTGGCAGGACCTTGGAGGCTTTCATATGTATATATGGCCTGCCCTAAACTGTTAAAGCCTCGGGACTCCGATAAATTCGAGACATTCGGAATAATACTAAGTACCGATCTCCGTAGTCATCCTGGATTAATATTAATATTGAGCATGTATTTCTTTGTTATGAGAAGTCTGTTTTAACTCGTTCACTGGTTGGACGATTCTGAATAGCCTCGAGGCTATGCTCCTCATTTGTTTTTTCACTGTGTGGTGTAAGATTATGGTGTCGATCCTCTGCTTGAAGGAGAATCCAAATCGGTTTCAACGGCCGGCGGCATGGTACTGAACGCACACACACCTGCAGAGAGGTTTCACCTACAGCCTCTCCGATATTTTACTAGGACGACCGGCCGCCGGTTCGGGACCATTTAGCGCTTGATGACATTTCGGATTAGCAGGCACATCAAACATTATGAAGATAGGATGCAAGTAGATGGGTACGATTCTACAAATCTAAATAGAATATATTACGGATTAATAGGAATGGTAGAATATCCAGAGCAAGGATGTTACAACAACTAAGGTATAGAAGATATTTACAGAAATGAATGTGCAACGAACCAGGCAAATGTACTAGGATATGTGCGAATGAGCCTTGAAGATATGGGATCTAAGCGTATGTTTGCGAGAGAAAGAAGCCCAACACTGGCTGCACCGGTATTTGACCTGTACATGCACTTCCTCGATGTGCCGAACGATGCTTTCCCGTTTCATGGGGGATCTTGCGCAGCCATCCCATGTACACTGTATCTCCAAATCCCCAGGCCCTTTCACTCCATGCATGCGTACGTGTTTTGAAAGATCCAAGACGCTGATGCACGCGCCGCATGGTATGCCCCCGCCAACGTCCCACAGACAGATGGTGTGGTCAGGGCTTGCGTGCACAGTGGGATCATTGTGAAAGTCCTGTGGAACAACACATTAACGTCAGCAATAGGTAGTATGACGATCAGGAAAGAAGACTGGCAGTGGGAATATCAAACAGGTGGCCTTGCACTGGTAGAGAATGATCTAGCGACATGATTGCGCTGAATGAGAAGAGAATCAATCACTAGTTAATGAGAGGACTCTATTCTTGGGGTTATATACTTTATGCCAGAAGGCCGAGCCGCAATTGGCAAACGCAGAAACCCAGATGATCACAAGGCCATGCCATGCCAGTCCGTTCAAAGCGGTAAACATACCTGGCCTATCAGACCGATCTGCTATAGCATGAAAGCACATTTATGCAACGAATTCCGGTGGTATTGTGCGATGTCATTTCCGCTGTTTGACGTGGGCTGTGGATATTAATATGAAAACCATATGGACCACTATGGAATAAGAGTCAGATAGAGGCAGAAGCTTTCTGGGGTAGCGTATGAAGGTATCTGTCATGGCGCCTACAAACACTACCCTGTATCCTGTTCCGTGGTTACCCCGTGACGATGACGACGGGTAGTAGCTAGGAAGGAGAAGCCAGAAATGTCGCAGAACTAGACGCCAGCATGCATTAATTGGGAGCGAAGTATTCGTCGAGCATCGGGCCTGTGGACGATTAGCTGATCGTGTCCCTACGCAGTCCAAATGGAAGGACCTCATGACGACAGATGGAAAAGTGCACCCCAATTGGCTGCATAGTCGCCGAAGCACCTGAGTTGGACCACCCTGAGCGGCGATTGAACAGGAACAAGCGAAATAACACGACAGCCTTGATTTGCAAGAAGGTATGGCACCCGTTGACGCGTTTCATGGATTCCTGTATTGATGTGTTGAAATTCCTTGTAGAACAATGCCTGTTCCGCAACAATAGATAGAAGTTGGTCAACGGGTGTATTATTGGACGGTGGCCAGTTCACTGACATCGGCACATACAGCAAACATCGTGGCCTTTGTGGCCATGCCAGTCAAGATACCACCGGCAATTTCCATATCAATCCCAGCCTTCACCCTGTTTGTGTACGTTGATCATACAGAAACCAGTCCAGCTGCCGCGACACCATTTGAAATAAGGGCAGGGATATGTTGATTCAACGTGACTTGCACGATACAATTTAAACTCGAACTATGAGCAGAACGCGCATAAGAATTGAAAGAACCCTTCACCATAGACTGTTTCCCGTGCACTACGCAGTCCCATTGGTCCAGGAGAAAATGGTTCGCCGGTAACCTGTGCTATGATAGCAAGAACCCATCAGCCGGGGCCCTCAGGTTGGAGATACACGGAAATGATCAGAGGTGAAGTTTAACGCGTAAGGTTTAAGAACCTTCAAGTTGTTCAATGACCCTGGATGGTTCACGATCGATGTTAAATACCAGTATGGTTTTGTCGGGAGCTAGGCACCGTGACCTAGTGGAGTCATCGACTAAATAAAGCGCACTCACGGTGCTGAGTCAGCCTTGTCACCTCTTGGTCGGAAGCGCTCGCCTACCTCCGTTTTTGATTCAACTGGCCACAGCAGAGTCCAGCCGCCGCCTCTTACTCCTGAACCATCACTACAATCCCCAGTACCAGCGCTTGCATAGACAACTTTATACAAACAATAATTCTTTGCGTTGTCAACGAACGTGATCATGTTCTCAAGCCCGACATCGAGCCGTACGCTCGCAACTACCACGCTGAAGGGCGCTGGCCTCATCGACAGCGACACGCGCATGCGAGATGCCACAGTGGACAAACCTGGTGGTCGCAAGGGCGCCTCGAAGATCCGCACGCACCGCACACGTCCGATTGATGCCTACAAGGAGCCTCACGGCCCTGGTCGAGCTAGCATGGTAAATATGAGACCTTTCCCCGTTCGCATTTCTTAGCTTAGTTGATCTCCCTTTGAATGTTTTCATGTCTATGACTTGGGAATTTTGTACGTCGCTGTATCTATCGCCGTCGTATATCACCCCTTGCCTTTCCCATTGTCTTGTCTATCTACATCCGTTCTTCGTCTCCTTTTTGTGTAAAACACTCGCTTACAAATGTCTGGCACCCACCGCCGCTCGCACATGGACAGCTCGCCGCACGGACACAACCAGGCGGCGCGTCGGATGTTCTCACGATCCGCGGCGCTTCGACGGTGGGGCGGCTTCGCAGGAACGCCGTTACGGCGGCAGTTGCAGGTGTAGCGCCTAGCAAGGCGCACACACCAGTGAAAGCAGTAGAAGTGTGGAAAGATTTTGTGAACAGACGGTGGAATCCCGAATTGAGGTTCTTGAACCTAGAGGTGAGTAGACACATACGTAGTCCTCGAATCTTAGTGGTTGATATCATGGGCAGAATATGATGGACGATCCAGAGATTCAGAAACACAACTTGTTGCCACCAGGCGTCCCTGCTTCCTCAGTAAGAGAGGCCTCGGTTTTGTTCAAGTTAGCCTCGCACCTGAGACCAGCTGTAAGTCGAACCTCTATTTCCAGACTCGGGTGGAATTTTATGCTTTGACCGATAGGTCCAAACGCTGTCTCTCGCAAATAACAACATCAGCTCCGGTCAGCTCCTTTCAACGCTAGCGCACTATCTTCCTAAGCTCGCCAATCTATCACTGCAAAACAATAACCTCAAGGTTTGGCGAGATATTGATTTTATCTCCGGGCGGAAAGGGAAGCTCGAGCATTTGCGAGAACTCATACTCCTCGGAAATCCATTAAGAGAACTGGAGATTCAGAATGGAAGGGGAGATAAGTACAAGAGGTACGTTGACAGGAGGTCATCAGGGTCATTTAATTAACGACATTCAGTGACATGGCACGACGTTTCACGTCATTGATAATGCTGGATCAGGAGGCCATTGCTACTATAGCATTCGACGCTCCCGGACCTTCGTCTACTGTCGTAACGGAAAAACGGGCAACTGCAACCACATTTCCATATGAAATGCGGCCATCATTTATCACGGGTGTTGAAGACTCGATTGTCAGCAATTTCCTCGTTCGGTGCGTCATCTTATCTTATATCTCGTATCTTTGCTGATAAAAAATTATTAGGTTCTTCCCGTTGTTTGATGATCAACGAGCTACCCTTCTCGATGCATACCACCCTTCAGCAACTTTCTCGTTCTCATGTAATACAGCTATTCCATCTCGCGCACGTATACAGGGCCTTCACGTATCTAAAGAGATGCCCAATCAGCGCAAGCTTGATTGGGGTCCCTGGCTCAACAATGGCTCCCGAAATCTTAATCGCATGGGAGGTGGCGGTGACAAAGTCATTAACAGCCTCCACCTAGGTAGCGAAGAGGCTATTCGAGCCATGTCGACACTACCAAAAACAAAACATGACGTATCTGGTTCACCTGAGAAGTTCTGCATCGATGCATGGCCTGTGGGTCAGGGCGAGAACTTAAAACTGTTCATTTCCCTACATGGGCAATTCATAGAAGGTATGTACCCGCGATTCACGCGGAAGTTTTTGGCTGGCCTGGACATCCCTATGCTCTATTGCCTTGGTTGCGATGCAGTGACCTTCGCGTCTTCGAATTCTCTCTTCCTCGATCCCACGTCATTGTGTTCACAGCTGACTTTTTCCTTTCTCGCAGAACCTTCGCAGGGTATTCGGTCATTCGACAGGGCGTTTGTCCTAGCTCCCGCACCCCCAAGTTCTCGGTAAGCCGCCTTTTCATCGTGTGCGCTCGGCATTTGCCATTGACACAATGACCAATCTGACAGGGCTAAATTAAATGGCTGGGACGTTATGGTTCTGTCAGACCAGTGGTCTGTACGAGCATACTCGACCCACGATGCATGGCATCCAGGACCGATGCGTGTGCAAGCTGGGGATGTTATTCCGATGCAACAGAAACCAACGGGGTCCATCGCATCATCATCTTCATTGATCCCAGCCGGCGCGCGTGTGCAGCTAGAACACACCATATCAACATTTGTAAGTGTTCGCTTCCGTTGTCCATGCACTTTCACTTACGTCTTCATCTCCGCACCATTGACTTGGTTAGTCTGAACCACAGCGTAATCTGATCATGCAGATCTGCGAGCGGACGGGTCTTAATGCCAAGTACGCCGTAGATTGCCTCGAGAATAACGCGTGGGTTTTCGACCGTGCCATCGCAAACTTTGAGCAAGTCAAGGTGAGTGGGGTGTCTGTTTAGAGTGTTTCCAGTGAAGCCTTTACTTACCATTGTTTGTCCAGGGGTCGTTGCCACGGGATGCATTTCTGTAATGCATGAATTTTAATACGGCGAACTCCCTTCTTACAATCGGTTCACACTTATTATTAGAAGGTTCGATTCGATTACGAGGAATTCGCGGATGTCGGTCATGGACTTTAGGTCAGGGATATTGATCGCTACCCCATGACTACTCTATATACATTTGGCAAGCTGAAAGTACTTCATGCATCATCGTATCAGTTTCAATGTAACGTTTTCATTATCATATTACTATCATATCACGAAGTATTTCGGTTTGTTGCACGCAATGAACTCATAATGTGTTTGCTTCTGGAGGTAGTTTTATCATGAGTTACTATATGATTTCCCAGCAGATTCGCCACCGCCCTGCATACTTATGACGGGTTGGGTGATTTTAAGTTTTTGTCGTCGAGACTACTACCCTGAAGGTTAGAGTGAATGACAGATTGACTCAAACGGTTGAATGCTACCTGGATTGCTACTGGATTTATACTATATAGATGAACCCGGGACAATGGGAAGCGCACAAAAGAGCGATGGGAGGTGCATTGTTTGTTTTTACCATTATGTTTTATTTTATTTTACGTGATCGCCTCGAGGCCGGTCGGACAAGCCGGCTCGAGGGCGCCTGCAACTATGAGCCTCATCAGAACATCAATGAGAAGAAGACTGAGAAGACCGACTTTTTGCCTCGTTGTGCCCCATTTGAAGTCATTATCTGTACGTATACAAAACTCAAATCCATCCTTCAACTGCACAAAATCAACTCTTCTTCTTCTATTCACCGACTCATCCGCCCTACGACCAACGCCCATAACTCATTCCCTCTCACACTCGCTGCGCGCTATTTACGACTGACGACTATAACACCATGATAAGTCGTGTACAACGCTCTTTTGAAAACTTTGCTTTGCTACAGGCTGCCTCAGAGGGCTCTGCTGCCGCAGTGCGCGATGCACTCCAGTCTGGAGCTGACATTAACGCGTCTGATAACTCTGGTAGAACTATTCTGACATGTGCTCTCACAGCCGACAGGTGAGTCATTCTTTAACGCGTTGAAAACTTGCTGAATCTCACCGTGCGTGCTCAGGTGGGAGACTATCGACGCGTCTGACGCGTCGTTTTTGTCCGAGGACCGTCTTCAAGTCCTCCGCATGGCTGTGTCGCATCCAGAAATCTCATTATTCACGCTGAATGCGCCTCAAGACTCGATAAACGATGTAACTCCTCTTGGCATGGCAGCTTGGCTTGACATGCCCCAAGCAGTCCAAATTCTTCTAGACTACAGCTCAGGCGCTATCTCCGTCGACGCCGAGGACACGGATGGTGCGACACCTCTCATGTGTGAGTTTCGTCCGACAGTTAGCATTTATTTTGAATTTCAATTGACGGCGCTATGATAGACGCAACACGCGACGGCAGGTTGGCTGTCGTCCAGCACCTGGTACGTTATGTTTAGCTCGCGCGGACTTCAGATACCTAATCACTATTCGCTAGCTTGCTCACAATGCTAGGCCCGATCTCAGAGACAGGAATCATCGATCTTCGCTTCAATTCGCTTTACCCCATCCGCGCGTCTTGTGGACATGTGAACAGGCGCTACGCAATTACCGTCTTCGTGAATATCAGGTAACCGATTTGTAGCGCATGAGTCTGGGCACAGGTACTGATACGTCGTAATAGAACGGAAACAAAAGAGGTCTTTGCAGGCCCAGCATCGCTATTAACCACTATCTGCAGGCCCAGCATCGCTATTAACACCTATCACCGCAAACCTCCACTCAGCTCAACCTCGCGCCAAGCATTCCACCCGCCACGACTTTCTCATCTGATTCTATATACCTCGCGACCGACTCTGTTGTACAAGCTGTACTTTCTGCCGATCTTTCTGTGTTGTATCCCCTGTTGTTTTCACAATCTCTTGAACCTTCCCCATTGGACCCCGGACCGATTCTCATAAATGTGCCCGATCTGGAAGGATGGAGCGCCATCCACTATTGCGTATCTGTACCAAATCCCTCTATCGAGATCCTCGATGCCCTGTATCGCGCTGGCGCCGACATCAGCTTGTTCACTACCGGCGAGCACTACACGCCTCTACACTGTTTTGCACGCCTCGCACGTGTCTGTGACGACATTCCAGAATCACCCCAGTTATTGTATCAATTCGCTATCCATCTTATCCGTGATCTTCGTGCACCGCTCGCGGCACCTGACAAGCATGACGAAACTTGTATCCATGTAGCCGCTGAGCACGGCGAATGTATTGATGTACTCCTCGCTCTTCTTGATTGTGACACCACAGGCACCATTCGCAATCTGCGCAATTCCCGAGGGTGAGTTCATTTGTGTTTCATGTTTCTCCATCCAGGCCATAACAAATTCGCACAGCCTTACAGCCTTCGAAGTCGCACGCCCAATTTTCCGCTCCGCATTTAGTCCTGACGGACAGTTCATCCGTCCGGAGTCGTCTCTCTCTGTTCGCACCATAAGGCCAGGAACGTCGAGTTCTATCACATCTGTCACCTCTTTCACGGACCGCACAACCCCACTTTCCCCACCCACGATCCGCATTTCTAATGGCCCGGCCTCCCATCTTCCTCTTGATTTTGATGTGACTGCATCCGCGGACCGCTTGCTTGAAAACTTCACCCTACTCTCGACCGAAGCACAGTTTGTCCGTGACCATGAGGGGTTGGATCGCCTGGCGAGCGTGGTGAATGAGACCTCGCAGCTCGGGTACGATGTGCTTGCCCACTTCAGAGGGCAAGTAGACGATGCCGCAAGTGACTTACGCGATATGCGGGCAGCTCTCAACGCTATTGATCATTTGTGGAATACAACTTCGAATGACGTGGAGGAACACCTTCGTGCACTTCCTGACGGTCGAAGTCTCGAGTGCTTCTCAGAACGCAGACGTTCACCTAGGGACTCTGAAGACTCACAAACCACTGCAGTGGAAGTTCAACCAGTTTACGTCAAGTCTATCCTCAAGGAGACAGAACCCATGGTGTACGCTGATGCTTCTGTTCTTACCGATCCTTCGGCACCTCTACCTCTTGAGACAACATCTGCATCCGGCGCACGCACTGTTCCTTGGCCCGAGTGGTTGGATAGCTTCATTCTTAGTGCAGACTCCACGACATACAAAGCGCACCTCGCGAATCTCATTGAAATCGAGCGCGAATTATTCTCGCGCGAGACGATGAGCTCTCTCGAAGAAAAAGTTCCCAACAAGGAGACCAAGCTGAAGAGCCTCCTGCGCAGTCGCAAGCGCTACGAGAAAGTTGAGAAGAGCGGAGCTTCGAAGCTCAAAGCCTGGCTGAAGAAGAAAATCGTGGCGGAGAAACCTTTAAAGTTGCAGATTGCATACGACCTAGACGGCGAATGTGCAGTCGGGACGGAGGTTAAGGTGGACTTCAGGCAGCCCTCTGTCACGATCTCAGATTCAGAGAAGCCCTCAAGAGTTCCATCGTTGTGCCCGTCTCCTTCAAGCGATAAGGTTCACCCTTCCCAGATGGTCCTCTCTGGTGCAAGTCGTGACTTGTCAAGTATTGACGAGTGCCTTCATGGAGTATGTTCAGTTTCCGTCATCACAATTCATGTGACTAATGAACTTGTTCTAGGTTGACCATCTGATTTCTACTGCCTGTCATTCAATTTCCCGCGCCGAGCGCATCATCAAGCGCTCCATTAAAACGCGTGAAGCAATGATACAAAATCTCCATTCGCGGTACCCTCCTGCCTACAACCCCATCTTTGCATTCTCCCTTGCCCCCTCTGTATATCCTGAGAACTCCTCGCGCTCCTTCTACCTCTCTCCCGGCAGCGCTACTTCCTCGCGATGCTCTTCCGCTCAGTCCTCAAATATATCTCTAACCGCTACCCTACATGATGACGAAGACGAAGACTCACGAGCATTGCGCAGGCTCCTCCTGCGAAAAATTAGCGCACACATCGATGGCGCTTTTGACGAGATAGACCGCGCAAACGTATGGTTACGTATCGTCAAGAGTGTACTGCGCGACCTCAAAACGCGGACGACAGCATAGGAAAAGGACCCAGAAATCAATTGGACGCATGTTGTATGTTATTTGTGTAATGTATCTGTAAATATTATTGCTTCATCTATAGACTCGGTAGCTCATCGTCCCATCTGCATCTCCCATTGCATCTGTACACTGTATATACGTACGCATCTCGTAGACACTGACATATGTTGCGATACTTTTTCGATATTCCATTGCTTTGCCTTCGTTTTAGAATTTTTGTGTTGGTGATAATAACTTGCACATGAGCAATATACACATGCTGAAATTGTGCAGGATCCAACTACACATCATCAATGTAATTACATGCAAACAGCTATACTGCAATTGAAACGATAGATAGATTTGACAGACAAGCAAAAAGGTTTGCAAGTCAAGATTGGCGCAAGTCTTATCTAGGTAGGAATTCGATCGAGTGTGTTCCTTCGATTGAATCAAGCTCTACAGACTTCTCATCTTCGTTGCGGATTTACCACACCTATACCAGTTCTAGGGTCTACCAGTGTTTTCGTCGATGAGACACATGTACAGACCTCGGAGGGGTAGTAGCACGACGAAGGTGTTTCATCTGTTAGTTGCGTTTCGACCTATTCTATCCACATCTGAAACTTTGGTATCATGCCAACAGAATGCGGTCCATCATCTTATTGAGCACGTTCTGCGGGCTCAGGACAGCGTGGCGGAGATAGGCAGAGGTAGGCGCATTGATGTGGCGGTTTTTGTTGAAGCAAATCGTGCCCGGCCTAAGCGGCAGGGATTGCGCATGTCCTTATCACCACTGCTCAGGTAGAAGCATGCTTGAACACTGTATTGAAGTAATAGGATTGTACCATGAGAACATAGCTCTGCGCATGCACTGCGAGTCGGTCGTTAATGTCGACAAATAGATCATCCGCCCTGATTCAGGATCGAGGACCATAAGCCCTGGGTTAGTTACGAGATGCTGCTATTGAGTTAGAAGTGAGTTTATAGTACAATTCCGCAGTGACACAACACGGCGTTGGTCTGCCAAGACCTACTTTTTATATTAAATCTACTTAAATACGGTATATCAGCACCATGATGGAAACCCTAAATGAAATTCTCGTGCTTCCCGCAGATGACAACCCGACAAGTGTTACTCACTTGTAGCGTGTCTCTTACTACACATCACTGCTAATCGACACAAGGTCGTGCTCCTGGAAGATGATGGTGGTGAAGGACGGTCCAGCATCGGTGTTGACTGCGAGTTGAGTGTCATATTCTCGGACACCAAGGATGAGACGTGGGCCTAGCACGAACATCTGTACAAGTAACAAAATTTGAAGAACACCATCATAAACCTCAGCGCCCACGGAGGATGAGTTCTACAGAAATGATTAACAATGTGACAAACACGGATTCGATAACATATAAACTTACATATAACTTTGGAGAGAAACCAGCGAGGCCAATAGAAAAGACAGCAACAGAACTAGAGCATAAGCAACTTCAGCGGAAAAAATGACCACATTAAAATCAGGAGCTCACAATACGAAATAAATCATGTGAATTTTTGTTAACACCATGAAACAGTTTGTAATGGTCCCTCCTGTCGATAGTTGTTGCACTTCACGGAAGTATTTTACAACGATCCAGACTGCAAGACACAGTACAAGGACCCCCCATACAGTGCAGAGGATCCATGTCATGGAAATCAGAAGCTCGACAACTCCATTGGAGTCATATCGACATAGATAGGTGCCGGACAGGATAAACTCCTCTGATATTCAACCGATGAGCCCTGCACGCATCAGTCTTTCATTATAAACGAAGCTTACCTCCAGAAACATGGATGTTTACTATTGCGGCGAGCACTACGCAGGTGATTGTGACAGGTAGGAAGATCGCAATGAGAAAGATGAGCATCTTCCTGGATTGCCGATACATGGCATATAACCGACTGCTCACGATGACTTGCATGATGTTTCATTCGGGTCAATATCACTGGGGCAGTGGAGTTGGGCAGCTTACCACACAATATGGCAATTATCACCACGGTCATCCAATTTTGTGCGAGGTACATGACATTGCCTGAAAGATCCAATCAGTTAGCGGTGAGCGTAGGAGGACCAAGAGACTCACAGCTGTTGAAGTCAGTATGTTTACTCAACAAGCCAATCTAGGTACTCACCCCTACAAAGGAGTACAAGTGATCAGATGGGAATGGCAGGTACTAGCACCGGACTTACTCCATCTGATACCGACACCGACGGAAGACCCGCTGATGCCATTGGTGAGAAGAGACAAAAACAGTGGATGTGAGGAGACATACACAACACGACAGCGCTATTTAAATAATGACCGATTAGCACAGCGCCAACTGGTAAGGCTTGCAAACATACACGGCGTATGGTAGTCCAGCGTAGCGCACCTAGAATGTATTGAGGTCAACACAACTGGCCGGCCGCTTGCAACACAAGCCACGTACGCTGATATATAGGATAGTCATGCAGGACCAGCGTTGTCTCTGCCTCGTGTTAATTGTATACACCCATTGTTGATGTGACGATCTGCTCACCCAGATCAGCTCAACCTATAAAACCATTGTTAGTGAAACGGGTGCTTGCTCTGGTAATCGCATCAACCTACCTCTTGTCCAAATGTCAGTGCTGGAAATATCGTGAGCACATCAGTGGTTCCACAATGCTATCTTGCTCACCCCAATCATATACGACCGCAGTAAAGGAAGCGACTGCAAAACCGTGGTCGAGGTTAGATCAAGGTATCAGCAAAACCCTCTACGAACCTAAAAAATAGCTGCACAGACGATATGAATTAATTAGCGGCCACCACTTGGGTTCATCTGATACTAAAGTCATATTGGAGGGAAGGGTCTGAGTGAGTGTAGTGGACTTAATGGAGCATATGGAGATGACGTTTGCGCTAGATAATATACCACCGTCCGGCGCTAAGTTTGTCGCCGAATAGGCCATATGAGGATGAATGGTACTTTCCTGCCACATCGGTTGACCAAATGCAGAGGCGGGATCTTGAATCAAATCAAATTGAATATGCAAAACGCAGTGTTAAACACGAGGAATACAACACCTCGAAATTTTGAAAAGCTGTTCGTTGGTTCCGGAACTTGATTAACTTGATTCTCAAGAGCCTGCCGCATTTGCATCAGCTTAAAAGCTCCATAGTACCACATGATGGCATCAGCCTGATACAGGCTATGGGGTGATGCAGCATCTGTCGCCTCGTGCACACGTCTCACCGTCTATAGGCTTATAAGGGCCAAAAATTTGGTAGATATAGTATGACATTGGTGCAAAAAGCGGTGCATGACGCATGAGTAATCCATCAACCACATGGCGGATCAACAAATTACACAGCCTGGTTGGCAACCCACGACTGCTCTAGCCCTCAATATATATAACGCCATCTGGCTCAAACGAGAGCCACGAGGAAGCCAACTTACTCGTTCTAAGAATGTTACAAGACCCTTTCTCGATGTCATGGAACGTTGCACTCTGATTGTTCAATTCCTGTAGAACGTGATGTCGGCTAAATAACTCACCATGTGAGAATGTCATTACGGGCAGGGCCTGAGTGGAATCCGCGAGGTAGTCTGATGGTTGCACCCTTGTGGCACGTCTAAGGACGTTGGATACCGGGATCATATATGATCACATCACATGTTTGCAACATTTTGCCGCGGTATATTAAGACAATCACTTTTTGCCACGTCGTGGTTCGCAATTGGAGAGTTTGTTTGGCGAGGCCCTACAGGAGCGCTCATGAAAATACAAACACAGCCACGGTACTAACCGTTAATACACCCGACCTGGCGCAGCAATAGCTACCGTCTAGTGCTCTGCCCGTGTTGTACCATACTAGTAGTCTAAACTGGTATGTAAATGTACTAGACCTCGGGCTGGACGGTGCGCTATTCACCAATTATACACAATCCCTCTAGCTTTGTTTGCTACTGGCGAACACTAATGCGTAGCAAGCCTCTTCAGTATTTTTGTACGGTTTACATTCGTCTGTGATGACATTTTCTCCGGTTGTTGTATTGCTTTCCTATCACATATCTGCCATCTCATTGCCCCGCTGACAGCATTAATATTCCACGCGCTCATATGACGAAACCTGTATATAAATGCATTATTATTAGCTCTCCTTGATTTTGATTGTTCACGTTAACGTTTCATCCGGCGGTCATCCCTGTCGGAGCATAGTGGCCATTCGGTCAGGGACTTCGAGCAACGAGTTTTACCATTACCGAGTGCACACATTATCCGTTCCACCAGCCGCGCTACTTCAATTTCCTCCATATGGTTTTCATTACCAGTGCAGCCTGGGATCTGCCCCATGACTTTGACAGACTGCGGCATCCGTGAAACGCCTGCTTGAAAACGTTACTCTACCCTGAACATGTGCATCTGTTTGTAGGTAGGTATCATCATAGGCATCTGAAAGGACGCTTGCCTAGGAACTCTGAAAACTCGTAAACCACTACAACATAAGCTCAATCAACCAACTTACGTCGAGTTTGTTCTCAAAGGAACCAGATACAAGGGGTACGTCAATGCGTCGGTTCATGTGTTACTGCCAGAGATAAAATCAGCGTCCACCACACATACTCCCCCTTCGTCCAAGTGGTTGAATAAACTTCGTCCTCAGCGCAGACTACACGACATACAGAACGCACTTCGCAAATGTCATTGAAATCGAGCGCAAATTGTTCTCTCGCGAGATGATGGGCTCACTCGAAAAAGAGTCCGTCAATGAGACCACAATTAGGAGCCTTGTGCGCAGTTTCGAGCGCTACGAAAGAGTTGGGAAGAGCAGAGTATCAACCCTCAAGGTATGGATGAAGAAAAGCACTTGGCAACTGCGAATTGCGCATGGTCTGGACAGTAGTCAAGGTGGGGGCTCCTCTCCCTTGCAAGTTGTCTGACAGATACCTAGCTCCAAGGCTGGGGCCCAGGGAAAGAAAACGACTCGGACACACGCCCATAATAGGTTTTGGCCACAAAAGGAGCCTTTCTTCGAACGATACAGGCCAATTGCTATCGCAGGCCAGTGCTGTTCTTTCGCTTGATCCGGTGCATAGACTTATGCTGGAACATGATGAGTGTATGAGAAACATAAGACAAATCACTCACTATAGACAGCGATTGGATATCACAAGGCAGCGTGTAAATTCGCGCAGTAGTAGTCTGATGGTTCCATGGCAACCTTGTGCACGGAGGATCAAATTTCAAAGTCCTTGAATTGCATTGCACATTCTTCTAAAGTTGGAACCTATTTTGTGTTGTTATCCACTGCGCCATATGTTAGCATCGTTGTTCGGCTTCAGGACTTTTCAGGCCGCAACTAGTCTCTCGACATCCCTTTGCGTCTTCTGGAAGCAGTAGTATCACTTCTCATAGGAGACCAAAGTACTTTACATGTTCTCCGAGGCATTTTGGAGCCATCAAAATCGTCAGCCACTGTTGACAACAGAACTACGATGTAAACTTGACAGTTTCACTGGTAGAGTTGGGTAGAAGCAACGCGTGCGCATGCTTCCATGTCATCAGCTGGTATCTCCGTATGAGATCGATATCACAAGTCTCTCATGAGATGCTCTTGATCATTCCACCCACGTGTGAGCTACTTTAAGTAGTGATCTTCGCAGCATGATATTCCAGTCCTATGAAGAAAAGATTGATTTATTATAAGTATTTCATCCATGCTCCCTGGATATAATTACTCAAGACAATGACTCACCGAGTGATCATCACTTGGAGCGTCTCCAGTACTACGTATCATTGTCAATTGACCGGCATAACGTGTGGACACGCTCCTGGAAAGCAATCGCAGATATGCCTGTTTCTGGATTGGAGTCGGCTATGAGCTTGGCATGATGTGATATCCCAGCACAGCGCACCTACGATATTTTCGTATCAACGCAAATTTCCAACCACACTTATAAAGCTGCATACCCAAAGATATAGAAGGGTCACGAGGGACCAGCGTGGCCTCTGCCCATATAGCTGTACCGTGGTAGTGCTCGTCTGATCGTATGGGACATTACTCACCCAGACTAGTTCAATCTGGTATTAAACCACGCTTCTGAGTGTGATGGCCGCTCTGGTAATGACATCAACCTACCTCTTGCCCGAATGTCAGTGCTGGGCG